GTAGATGTGTTTTTGAATTACATAGACAATTTTATGTTTTGTAAGGCTTTTTTGGGGGTTTGTTTTGTTTTAAACTGAGGCAAAACAGGGTAACATATTTTCTTCCTCACTGTCCATCAGGAAGTTTAGCCATGGTTTACTGAAGACCTCAAAATTTCAGATACAGGGAATTTTAATTTCAGGACTGCATCAGGGCAAGATCCAGGTTATCTTTCAGCAGGGATTACCTATGGTTTCTACTAGATTATTCCTGACGTGTGGCTCATCATATTACAGGTTAACTGTTAGAAGGGAGAAAAGCATGAGGCATAATGAAGAACAGCAATATAACTCTCCTCCCTTCTCCTCAGAATAAATCCATCCCAAGTTTAGGAGGTGTGTAGATTAAAAGGCTGCCTTGACAGGCTATCAACAGCCTTACCACATCATATAACAAGAGTGAACTTTAAATCTAGCATTTCAGCTCCCTTTGAAACTCATGGAGCACCCCAGTCTTAATATAAAATCTCCCAGTGGTTCACATCTGGATTCTGTAATTGTCATCTGAAAACAAATAGCGGTAGAAATGATAAAGTGACTGGGCATCTCACTGGAATCCTATTACCCCAGTGCAGCCTTTTTCAGCATTGTATTTCAGTACTTTAGTATTGTATTTCTCCCAACCTGATCTAGACCAAGAAAGGTTTCATTTCAGCTTTTAAACTGTGTTTTCATAGCCAATTTATTTTGTTTTTAAATATGTTTCTCTGTCCTTGCTCCCCCCCAGTTTTGTTTACTATACCCTAAGCAGGGCTCTGATTTCCCCACATCCACGATTACAAGCAGAGTGCTTTGCCAGGGATCCAAAATTTGGTGGACAGTTCCCCCGGGGCTTATAAACTCAATGTGGCTTGCCTGCTAGCTGTGGGGAGATGCAGAACGAACCCAAAAGCTGCCAAGAATCACGCCCAGATGGGGCTGTGGTCAGCTGGCAGATGGATATGACTCTAGGAGGGGTTCATGGGGTTGCCCCCTGCCCTGATAGAGACCCCTGTCCCCCCTGCCCTCAGGGGGAGCAGGGAGGGATTAAGCCATAGGGCTGCAGCCCCTTGGCATTGATCTGAATGAACAGACCCCAGCCACAAATCACTCAGTATTTTAACAGGCTTTGGGAGGTTTTCCTTCCTCACCTTAACCCTTTGTGGGAGCCTGGAGCCTGTGGAAGATAGTATCTGGCGCAAAAGGCTCCTTGGTGCAAATCTGCTTTGTCCCAGCCAGAGCTGAGGGGACAGGGAGAATCATCCCCTGCACCTATTGGGTCTGAGCTCTGCACTACAGGTGCTCCTGACTGCTCGGAGTTTCCCCTTGCTTCACCAAATGGGTCCTCAAAGAGGCCAGGAGCTGCTTGTTAGCCAGCTTACAGGTGTCAGAGCATGAACCTGGCAGCCGCCAAGTCCTTGCAAACTTCCTTCATGTATTTTTCAGGTCACCACAGCAAGGGCAGAGGGGAAAGCTTTTGAGTCAGGTCCTGCAAAACAGAGCAGATGGGACTGTGCCCATTTCTGGGTGCTGGAGAGGGGTGGATGCTGTTTTTCATCAGTTCTCTCTGTAGCTCCTTGCCTGTCCTGTCCCAGCCCGGTGGATGGAGAATGATCTATAGTCTGGCAAAACCAAAAACAACAACAACAAAAAACAATGCTCTGTGCAGTTATAGGGAAAGGGCTCAGGGAACAGCAGCTGTGGGCTGCTGATTTCTAACCTTTGCATTTCTTTCTTGTCCCCCTTTTTCACCCCACAGCCCTCTTGGTGTTGAGGCATGTGAAAACTCCTCTGGGTTACATTTTGTAACTTCCTTAGGGGACTGTGTATGAAAAATAAATACAAATGTCAGCCCCAACTGCAAATGCAGTCCTAGCACCCATCTGGCTTCAGCTCTAGTGAAAATCTCGAGGTAACTGGTCTCAGAGTCATGAGCTGAGGTTAGACTGGTGTCACTGGGATTGTCTGCACAGGTAGGTGCTGCCACACAGGAGCTGGACAGCTGGGTCCCAAAGGGTGAGACCCAGGGAGAGGACCGCAGTAAGCACAGCAACCTCTCAGTGGTTTATTGGTTGTATTTGAGTGCTCTCTAGTGGACAGAAAAATTAATCCAGAGGCAGACATGGCTGATGCTCACACTCCTTGAGCCGAAGTCACTCTTACCTGGCTGTCTGTGGCGTTGGGTCTGCAGCATCCATGGGGCTGTGCTGGATGTCTGGGAGCAGAGTTTTGGAGGGTGGTTTAGGTAGGATCTTCTTGATGTTTGATGCTGCAGGGTTTGGTCCATGAGCTGTGGCATGCATGCATCGTCAGATGCCTTTGCCAAAAGCTCACGCACAACATGGATAGTAACATCCCAGCCGTATCCCTGTTACATAGGGCATTCTCCTTGTGCTGAAGGAAACACATGTAGGACCCATTCCTGTGTGTGTATAATCAGCAAGTAGAAAAGCAGATAGGCACTATGGAGGCAGAGTAGAAAAAACAAAACAAAACAAAACAAAACAAAAAAACAACGTTGCTCCCTAGGTGGAATTTAGTGAAGAATTAAGAAAAAAATGATTATATTTATTCATTTATCAGCCACTGCTGAGACTCCAGGAGCCCTCTGCTCTGAGAGAACCTTGCCAGTGCCAGACATAGTAGCCCTGATGCAAGATAGCTCTTGTTTTATAGCATAACATGATAAACCACTAGATACAGTGGAAACTTAAGTTACTTTAATATGACAAGAAGGCAAGGTTTTTATCCCATGAAAGTCAGCTCAGGATGCAGACCATCAAGTGGTTACACAGTGGATGCTCACAGATGACAGGAACCATGCTACTGAACCAAATGTTCAAAGGTATCCCAAAATCATGAGATTTATAAGGATACTTGACATTACATATATCAGGTGTGTGATTATTGAACTCTGAAAATAACTCATTGTATTTTCCTTTTTTTTTTTTTTTTTTTTTTTTGAAGTAATGGCAGGCAAAAGATTTTTTATCATAATGATAATGAAACTGAAAAAGCCACTTGAGTGATGAAACTTCTACACCAGCTGTCAAGGTTATCTGTCTGACTCCTTAAATTCTTTGTTTTAAACCTGCCTTCTCCATTATGCTTGCGTTGTGGAGTGCTATTAATTTAAGTTTTCAGGATAGGACCGTCTTATGAGCTTCTCTCATATGGACACTTCCCAAGTCCTCATACATCTTGAACACAAATGAAGTTCCTTCAGCCATTAATTTAATAACTTTTCTCCTCTTCATTCCTCTTCACTTTCCAGAGGTCTTTGATTAAAATCATACTGGCCTCCTTTTCTCTGAGCACCTTCTTCAACTTGAAGCTTTTATCTGAATGGATAAAAATAAAACAACCAAACCAGTCAATACTGGAGAGTTAAGAGGCTGGAAAAAGGCCAGTAGTCCCCAAGAAGGGAGCACTGAAGGTTGAGAGTTTCTTCCCTTCTACTTTGCACATACACAAGTGAACTGAGGCAAGAAAGACGTCTGAGACTGCATATTTGTTCCCATCGCTTCTTGTAAAAAAGCAACACTTTCATGTTGCTTTGAATGCTACATAGAAAATTTATTCCATTTAACTGTTTTTTAACTGTTTTAACTGTTTCTCTCTCTCTCAGTTTTTTTTTTTTTTTTTTTTTCCTCCTCAGTCAGAAAAGAGCCCATGGGTGGGTGTTGGTCAGACCCCACTGGGCACAGTGGCAGTGCGGCTTCTTCACACACCTGATCACCAGCTGGAAACAAGCAGGGGAAAGCTGGTAGGAGGACATGCAGCACATCTGAAAACCAACACCAATAACAGTGTAACATCACTAACAAAGTTATGATTTTCTACCATTACTAGGCCTACCCTCTGCTGCAGGGAACAAACATGAACACAGGAGGTTCCCTCTGAACATGAGGAAACATTTTCTTTATATGAGCACTGGCACAGGTTGCCACAAGGCTGTGGAGTGTCCTCCCTGGAGGATCTTCAAAAGCCACCTGGATGTGGTCCTGGGCACCCTGCTCCAGGTGTCCCTGCTGAAGCAGGGGTTGGGCCAGGTGGACCCAGAGGCCCCTGCCAGCCTCAATCATTCTGTGGTTCTGTGAAATTATGCTCCAAATATTCAGGAATGTTGCTTTTGAAGAAGGCAATACAGTTGCACAGCTCCAGCAGGCTGCTCTATCTGCATCTTAGAGTTTGCTTCTGTCAGGGTTGTTTTTTTGTACAGCTGCTTTGCTGAGATTCCTTCATAAACACAACCTTCACAGTCACCATGTGGTTAAAGCCCATATCCTAACCTCATGGATAAGACAAATGATTACTTTCAGAACCTCGGAGGTTAGCAACACTGAGGCATTTATTCCCCAAATCTGTGATTCTTTTGTCACAGGGTGAGCTGTTATAAAAACACCACATGATGATGAGACTTGCTAAGAAATCACAAACATGGGCTGTGTTCGGACTTCCTCATGCACATACAGACGTGGTGCTCATCTTGCTGGGTCAAAGACAGAGCCCAGCACCGTGTTGGGGCTGAGCGGTCACTTCTGTTTGCAGACCACAGCCCCAGTTTTTGAAGCACCCATCTTCACACGGACTCGGTGACTTCATGAGGACAGCGTTTTGGTGCGGAGGGCAGCAGGCTCTGTGGGGCAGGCTGGTAGAGCAGCAGCAGAGCTTGGGGCAGGCGAGGTCCCTTCCAACCTGCAGATACAGCAGGGTAGGGCACACAACGTCTTCCCACTTCAGAAGAGAGCACAGAGGTGTCACTGGGGGGTAGGGGAAGTGTTTTGGCTCGCTCACACCATCAGGCCCCAAAAGCCAAGACAAAATTACTGGAGCTCGCTCCCAAGGAGGCCGCCCGCCGCTGTAGTCGTGGCCGAGTGGTTAAGGCGATGGACTAGAAATCCATTGGGGTCTCCCCGCGCAGGTTCGAATCCTGCCGACTACGGCTCGGGGCCGCCCTTTTCCCCTCCCTCCCTGCTCTCCTCCCCAGCCCTCCTTTTGCACCAGAACCGCCCTCCGGCAAACATCCGCCGCGGGTTCCCGTCACAGCCTCCTGGGCTCCGGGGCTGGCCCGGGAAGAGGGCGGCTGCCAGCGCCATGCAGCACGGCCCGGCGCCCGCCGCGCTCGTCACCACCAGGTACCGGTGGCACCAACTCGCCGGGAGCTGCCGCCACCCAGCAGCCGGCTGCGGCCTGCCCTCGGCGGGGAAGGGAGCAGAGAAGGGCCGGGAGGGGAAGGGAAGGGCCGGGAAGGGGAGAGAAAGGAAAAGGAGGGGAGTGAAGGGACTCCCCTCCCCCCCCATCGCGGGGAGTCCCGCGGTGGGCGCTGAGGAGACGCCCAGGGAGGCGGCTGCCGGCGTCCCTTGCAGCGGGGACACTCGGGGTTTGGGGCAGTTCCGCGAGTTTTTTTGGCAATTTGCTGCCGGAAGAGGTGCTGCTGGCATCTGGTTCGCCATGCGTGGTGGCCTCTGTGGTAGCTGAGAGGCGCTGCCCTTCCGTGGGGGACTTATTAGGGGGCTTAGCGCGGTCCCCCAGTCCCCCAGCTTGGTGGAGGGACGGGTGTTTTGGGGTGTTTTCGGGGCAGAATGTGATGCCTGAAGAATAGGTTCAGGCTTGGCTTTATAAACACCTCTCTAGCTGAGCAAGGCTGCACCACGTCCTATCCCATCATGTCCCTTCCCTTCCCATCATGTTCTATCCCATCCCATCCCGCAGTGGCACAGTATTAGGCCTTTCTCTAACCCTCTTAGGGGGTGGGCAAAAGGTGAGGAGAGAAACATCACTAGGGCAGCTGGCCTAAACCAATCAAAGGGATATTCCATACCATGTGATGTCACACTCAGCAATAAAAGGTGGAAACAGGAAGAAGAGGGGAGGGGTGGGCTCTCGTTTGGAAGACGTCGGTCCTCCTCTCGAACACCGGCTGCGTGCGTTGAGGCCTTGCTTCAAGGACGTGGTCAATCATCGCTCATTTGTGGGAAGTAGAGAGTAATTTCTTTCCTCTGCACTTCCATATAGCCTTCATTTATTTTGTTTGTTTGTTTTCCTCCCTTCTTTTTATTTTCCTTTTTTTCCCCTCCCTTTCCCTTTTTATTTCCCCTTAGTTAAATTGTTAGTTCATGGTAGTCTTTATTTAATTATTATAATTATTTCCCTTTAATTAAACTATCCTTATCTCAACCCGTGAGTTGTTCTTTGCTTTACTTCTTCCGTCCCCACCACCAGACCCATGCTCCAAAGGCCACAGGGAGTCAGTCAGTCTGGTTTTGAGACCAGGCCAGGAACAAGTAATATAAGTTTCTTCTGTTTTCACACCTTCTCACAGCTCTAGCCGAAGGCACCAAATGTACCCTAGGTGGGTGCAGAAGCACTGTTTTGAGCTGTATTACATTTTTCAAACCTGTATTTCCCTAGAAGTGCCGAGCCAGCACCTCATGAAGAAAACGCTTGTGGCAATCTTTATAAAGCAGTGATAGAGGTTCCCTCCTCCCCCTTCCCCAAAGGTGTTTGAGACCACATGAAAGGAGTTGGCTATCAGATGGAAGACGAGGAGCAGAAGTGCTGATTCAGCACGGTCTGGACTCACGCACCTACCTCCTAGGACACAAGTCGAAACTATTTCAATCACACGAACTTCAAAGCCATGATTTTCATCCTTAAATACTTTGCTGTGTCAGGGCCTGACTGCCTTTGGAGTAGTGGCCTTGAACCTTCAAACAGATCTGACTGAAATCACATACACGTTTTGTAGGACTGACTTTATATTAGGTTTTAGGCTGCGAGGTGGAAATCTGAACACCTGGAATTATTTTACAGTGAAGGGACTTTACCTGCACATTGTCCCGCTGATGTTGTAATACCTTCAGTAATACAATTAGATGTATGTGTGTGTGCTTAAGGCTTTAACAAGTGAATGTATTTTCTATCTTGTGAGATTAGATACCTGTATAGTTGTGAACCTTTAAAACTTTTTATATACACAGGTTTAGGTTTGGGGGTAGGTTTTCTAGTTAATGGTAACACAAATAAATAATAATCTGTAGCTGTGTAGTTAGACTGTACAGAGAAATAAAAATATTTGCTGGCTAATTTGTGTCAGATATTTTGCCTTCATTTCATGAAGAAACTAAGTATTCGAGTCTTTTCTTCCTGTAACCTGACCAGGGTAGTCAGACTTTGGTCCCCTTTGGGGTCTTCCGTGGAAGGAGGAGAGGTTGTTGGAGCTGCTGCAGGGGCTGACTGTGTCAAGACGAAGTACAAAGTCCGCCTTCTTGGCACATACACAGTGGAGTGAAGTTTCTCTGGTCACAGCACCCACATCCCTTATTTGCTTTCCTGCTTAGCAATGGCTCCTTTCCTTTTTTTTGCATCTTGGCCTTTCAGTGCAGAAAGCAGATTGATTAAACTGCGCAGCCTCTACATTATATGCAACTCAAAATACAGGGTGAAGACCTGTGATTCTTCCATGAACTGGGGAAACTGCCCTGCTCAGCTGACCTTTATATAATCTCTCGTTCCTCTGTCCTGTGCTGCTCCTCCTTGATCTGCTTGTGCAAGCACAATATTACTGCTATGAATGCTCTCATTGTATTCAGGTGAGGTCATCTGTATTAGGAAAATTAACCATGTGCCCAGGTGTCCCCTGATCCATCTGTACTGCAGACAAAAGTGACTTACAGATATATGCATCTAGATTTAACTAAGGAGCAGGAGCAATAAGCCTGTGTGTCTAATATATTATTAATATATTAACATTAACGACCAGCTTTTCATTTTTTTCTTTTTTTTTTTTTTAAGGCCACCAGTGTGAAAATGATTGTATTTGATGTGAAAAATGCAGTGAAGCTATTTCTGTCTTGTTTTTTTTTTAGGTGCTGCTCCCATTTGAATAACAACAATAACAGTATATAATGAATTAAAACACTGGGGGCTGCTTATTTTGAAACCAAGGCATTACAAGAATTAGTGTGCTTTGGATATTGTGTCATACCTGTTGCAGCCTCCCTGCTGACTTCTGTTGGTTTAGAATCATTTTTATATTTAAAAAAACACATTATCCTGTTGCCATGGGAGGAGGTAATAGTGGTCGGTTTCGTGTGAAAGATGATAATGAAAGTGATCACAAGGCGTAAAGCAAACAAACAAAAATGTAGCTATTTCCCCTCCCTCTAATCCCTTTCCATTACAGTCATTTTAGTGGAGACTTTTAACAACTTGCAAATAAAAAAGCCTGGGTGTAGGTAAGGTGCTTGCTAACTCCCTGGCATTATTCAAACTCTCTGATGCAGCAGGGCTTACAATGAAGTTGTTGTCTCATCTCAGTACATCGCTACGTGGCTGATGTTTCAAGCTAAGTAAGGCTATACAGGAGGGTTGGCTTGACAGTGGTTGTTCTTTTATTTTTATCAGAAGCGAAAAGCAGGTTAATTTATCACGTAAACTCTCTCTGTGGCTGCATTAACAGAAATAAGTCACTCCTGAGTTCCAGTAAACAGCCCTGTTTGTTATAGTCACGACTTTAGAGTGGCTGCACATCTGGAGAGCATTTGCTGTGCTGCAAATATACTAGAAAAAAAAAATCCAGATCCAGCTGATTTTACTGACAGGTGTCCTTTTAGGCAGCGTTTTGGCTGCCGCTGCAGGAGACAACACTCCAGATAATGACTTGTTTAAGGGTTCAGCAGACCGCTGTGTGCCAGCCAGGAGGTTCTAAGGACACCTGTGTATTTACACGTAAGCGCTCTTGCTTCTGTGTTTGCGTCCTGTAACTGAGAACAAAATTTTGTCTGCTAGTGTAAAGAAAAGTCCTTGGCTGGCAGCAGGTGAGGACAACATTGGAGCAACCAGAATGGCATTTAGGTACCTAGCAGAAAGCCTCGGTGACAGTAGAGCTGTAGTTAAAGCCCTGATGTTTTAAATATGGCTTGCAAAGAGAATTCGATCAAAAACTGAGCCTGTGCCTGTGCTTGTTGGTATTTGATTTATGGAGAACTCTTGAGATATTCTGTTTAAAAAGCTTTAGTTTTGCATTGAAGATTCAGAAGTTGCCTTCTTGGGAAAACTCAAGTTTCAAAAGAACTTGTCAGGTTTTGACATGATGAGAGGAGCCTTTCAAAACTTTCTTTGAAACTAGATCGTTTAAACCACTTTAAGGCCTATTTTAAATTCATATGCCTAATATATCCTTAGGTGAGAGGGCCTTTGTGTCAGCAAATCTGAACTTCCTAAAGAAAGGGGCAAGAATTCCACAAGACACCTCTGCAATCCACAGAGTCCAGGGAAGATGGGACTTGGCATTGCCCAGATAGCTAAGGTTAAAAAAAAAAACGCAGTAAAAGTGCTTAATGAAGAGAAACGTGTTTTCTGATTTCATTTAAAGGGTTCACTCACATGTAGGAAGGAAGCACTTCGGAGATGCATCCAGAGAGCACCCAGATGGAAACAGCATAGCTGGCCCAGCAGTCAGCTCCAACATCTCTGTATTCCAAGTTTTAATCTAGTTCCTCGGATAACTCTTACTAACATAAAGTTGTCCCAGCATCCAAGCAAGTTTCTTAGTCCTTTTTTGGCCCTTTTCAGGATGTCCTAAGACAAAGGAGAGGTGAATAGGGCTTGGCTTCAATTGTAGTGAACAGAGCTTTGCCTCAGAGCACTTCACAATGAGACAGGGATCTTGGCATCTTCTCATCTGCCCTGCTGGGCTAGGGCAGCATTCGTGGAGACTGTAATAATATGCAAAACCAATATGTATTGTTTCATATTAAAATGGGTGAAGTCTGTGCAAATTTGTATTCCTGCAGTGTATAAACAGACCCTAGGGTGTAGGGTCTGTCCTGGGTCCTGTAAAAATGGGGGTCTTTGCACTGACTTTCTGGAACTTTGAATGGGATCCTCAGGGAGTATCATTTAAGTCTCTGTGCCGATGCCTGAACTCTGTATGTATTTTATTTTTCTCCCTAGGCAAATTCAGAATAAACACACGGGGCTGGATTTGTCAGTGCCAGAATACCAGGAAATCCGTGGGAAGATGATGTCTGGCCACGTAGAGTATCACATCGTCGTTGTTACCCGCCTGGCTGCCTTCAAATCTGCAAAGCACAAGCCTGAGGATGTTGTTCAGTTTATGGTAAATGTTTGATCAGTGCCATGTTAGCAGTGAGCTTTTTGCTTTCTTAATCTTCTTTGATTATTTTGATTCCGATGTAGCAGATACTTTGTTACTGCAGCCTCCTTGTGTCAAGGTCCTTGATAGGGCAATGCACTCTGTAGTTCTGCAGTAGGAATATTATACATTTATTAATTGAACTTTTTATTCCAGGAGCTCAAAGCAATATTGTCTGTTTGTTGTTCACTATAAAGCATTTTGCATTATGGGTCAACAAGTAGAAGCTAATCAAGCTTTTTATAAGTTCTGCTACAAAATTAGTTTCTCGGATACATGTATGAATAGTGGGACTTGGTGCATAAACATGAAATAAATATACAATGAATGAAATAGGAGGAATTAGCCTTGGAGTAGATAAATCTATTAGGCTTGACATGGTTTTTAAACTGTAATAAGAGAGTTTTGCAAGGAAGTGTCCTTATAAAGCATAAGTGAATCAGATTGTCTTTTTCCTGATACCTGCAGAGTAAAGGTTTGAAAACACAGTACGTTACTTAAAACAGGTGAAATTAATTCCATCTCTAGCATGTGTGTGTTCGTTTGAGGTATCTCACCCTGGGCTGTCTGCCGAGTAGACGGAAAAAGTTGCATTTAGGGTATGTTTCATTGGATCCTCTTCAGCTGTCTGCTGAATCACACCGAAAAAGTGTGTTTCTCTGTCCATTCACTATAAAGGGACTCTGAAGTCGTGCACCTTCTTGTGTGCTATGAGCATCTGCACCTTGCAGATGTTTTGGTGATACCTGTAATGTTGGAGTGATGTGAGTGTGTGGTTACCTGGTAGACCTTTAGCTCTAGTATAACTCATGCTTACTAGGACACAGCTGATAAATGGATTTGCACGCAGTCTGATTTGCAAAGAAACACGTCAGTTTTGTGAAACAGTGCACAGTGAGGAGCAGATCTCTGACACTTGTTGCAGTCCTTAGGCAATAGCCTTATGGTAGAAGGCAGTGCTGGCATAAAAGGCTGCTCTGTTTTCCCCTTCTGCTCCAGGGGAAATGCCTGTTCTCTTTCTTGCAGTGCTTCCTACTTTGTGCCAGTTGTCATGTGGCTGTTCTGTAATGCCAGCTGAGGAACTGGTCCTGGCTAAAAACTGCATTTGGGAGTTGTTTTAGTACCAACTTACACCTGTTTCTTGAGCCTGTGAGTTGCACAGCACACATTAGTGCTTGCTGTAGGACAGGGGAAGGGCCAGACATGGGCAGAAGAGAAGATGATGTGGATCTTTTATTTTTCTGCAGCAGTGCCTCCTTGTATTATGCAATATTTCCGTGCAGCTCCGTGGAAGAAAGAAGCTGACTAAACCTCGGGTGTTAAACTGGCCAATTACCATCTAACTCTTTGCTTCTTTTACAAAAAGTAGTTGAGATCAGCTCTTCTCTACAGACAAGAAACAGCCTTCCTACTGTGGCGCCCCTGCTTGCTGAGCTTGTTTGTTTCCACGTCTGTTCTCTCTGAGTAGGGGGATTTTCTGCACTTAGCGGCTCTTCTCAAGTGAAATGAACCTTTCTGATTTCTCCTCTGGTCAGACCCCTTGACATTTCGTTCTTTATGAAGAAGAAGACTGCGGTGTAGCCTGACGGGAATAACATTTATCTCATCAGATACTTTTTCTTCAGCTGACTAAGTCTGATATATTACATAGTTGGTGCCTGAGAGTTATTTAAAGCCCTGAGATGGGAGATTGGAGGATGGATGCTTTGCATCGATTCATTTCAGTGAGTCTTTTCTGTACATGCTACTGGAAGGAACAGAGGGATTCACCTGCCCTAACTTACCTCTGTGTAAGTCAGATATTTTAATCTTAGTCTCTTAGGGGAGAAGGGGATGAGTTGAGTCATCCTCTGGAAATGCCAAACAGTCTTTGACTGTTTAGGGAAAGCATTCTGCATGTTTGATATCTGGGTTGGGGGGCTTCAACTCCAGGCTAAAAAGGCTTAAGGCTTAGTTGAGTTGCACACAACTTACTGTTAAGACCATCTGAGATGCTCCATTTTTTTTCTCACAAAGCCTTCAGAAGGTTGTGGGTCTCCCACCCGTAGGTTCTGTCTGATATTTGCACCACCGTGGATACCCCAAAGCATGACGGCATGAGTTGCCTGGTTTTAGGCAGAACAGTCTGTTCTCTGTGGTAAGATGTCAGCATTTGCCACAGATTTCTAAGATCCCATTGCAGTCAGTACAGTACTGTCAAGAACCATGCAGCTTAGCATCTATGGCATGGAGGAACTTGATCTGCTTATCAAGAGTGGTTGGTACCATTTGAGAAGCCCTGAGTTATCTGAGATATCTTCACAGCGCCTTGCAACTTGACACAGAATGTAAAGGCAGTGGTGCTGTCCTGGAGCAGAATGAGGTAAGAGACTATACACCATCAACCTCTAGCTGGTTGTGCTTAGGCAGCTGAATCCCCTACCCGAGATATTCTGTGTGAGTATGAGTTTCAGACATGTCTTTCCAAAAGGTATCAACGATGTGTCACTGTCGTGAGAGCTGAGACACCTCACAGGCACGCCAACAGTTGTCTTAACCTGGAGGTAAATCCCAACCCTGTGGCTGCTGGGTGAGGTGAATTGCACCCATTGTGCTTTGTGTCTGCAGAATGCCCCGTCCTGCTGCATGTTGTACCAGCACAAACAAGAACCAAGAGCCCTTCCCAGACGATTTTCAGGCAAAGTGCAAAAGACCCAGTTGACTGAGGGAGTTATATTGGGCAGCAGGTCTAACACTACATTTGCATAGCAAGGGAGGGTGAGATGAGACATCTGAAGGAGGAAAAAGAAAGAACTGTATATCTGTTCTGCCTTCCTCCCTGTGTGAGCAGAGTAGGAGAAGTAACTTTTTTTGATATTGTGGAACCTATAAAATTTGAGAGGTTGGAGGAAGGAGCCAGCGTTGCAACGCTGAGAAGACAAGTTACAGAAGACTGGTAGGTGTGGTGGGATTCATTGGCTCCAGGTATGATAAACCAGTTTTGGCTACCCCAGGAGCCAGATCTGTGTTTTGAGACCCTTTGTCTTTCTTTTTCTTCCTCCTCCTTCCTCTCTTTCTTACCCTCAAAAATTGATTTTCCTTGTCTAGCTGCTTCTCTGCCTGCTTCCAATTGAAGTTACTGTTCTCTACCCTCTCGTGCTCTAGGTGGCAGCAGTGAAACTGGCTTTCTGTGCATTAGGCTGTGAGCCGCTGCAGGCATCGATGTGATTGTGCAGTATTTCTTGCTCAAAAAACTTCTCTGTGTCCCCTGTAAAAAGATGGTGAGTAGGACAGAAGCATCCCCTCAGCTAACTCTGACCTCAGGGCTGCAATTTAGATCACACTGGATCAAGATGCGATATGTACCTATGGCCAAAATGAGACAAGCAGCAAAAAGAGATTTCAGATCTGGCATGTGGAGTTACAAGCTTTCACTGTGTATTCAAGCAATCTGGAGTCCTTTGTTCCCCAGCCATAATGGGATTGTGGCATTTCGAATTGAAATGTTTGTGAAGCGTTAAGAGAAGAAGAAATTCACATCCGTCATGACCTTCAGATCTAAGTTCTTAGGAACTGGAAGGATTTTTTAATTAAAAAAAAAAATGTCATTTGTAATATGCAGCACATGGGTTGTAGAACTGCTTAACCTTAAGGTTATATTTGGTAATTAAAGGAAAATTCAGCTGTATTTCTTTCAAAGGTCAGAATCCTCTTGTCCATTGAAACAATGAAGTTGGTTTTATCTTTTGTACTGCATAAGGTACTGCTGCAAAGGTAACACTTAATTATTGCCTGCAGATCTGCCATTTTCTGTGAGAAGAATAAAAGGCTTTATTTATCTTAAATGCTTTTCTTCTAGCCACACCTTACCTTTTTTTTTTTCCACAATTAACTTCTCTCTTCCCAGCCTAATTAAAAACCCACCCAACCTATAGTGCTTTCTCATTCTATTTGTGCCTAGCTTAATTACTTCTCTTTTACAGGTTCCATTTGTTAGTCAGGTTCGTTCTTTTTCAGAGCTGAACAAATAACTGCTGGTGTTTGACAGGCACAACATGTTTTTTGGAGGAATTTACTGCAGGACTGTCTTCCTCTCATAAAACAAGGGAGTAAAATTATGTGGGTGTGTATTTGTCTGTGCTTTCAGTATTGGCTCTTTGCATATGTTGGCCTTCTTTCTATGGGCCTCAAAATCTGTGCACTGGGGCTGCCGTTTCCTGACCATACAGGTGTGTTGTGGAGATGCATTCCTTCACGTTACAACCTTGGGGATGTGAGGGGAAAGGAGAAACTGCTCAGTGTGGCAATAGGCTCAGGAGCCATTAAGAATTCATGTTCATTAAAAAAGAAATACTAGAGTGCTTGCTCTTCTGCTGGGTAAAACAGGTGGGGAGAACAGCATGCGGTCGTGTAATTAAAGTCTGCTGTAATGCATACCCACGAGGTCACCAAGCAACACTGATTCTGGGATGGCTTAACTTGGAAGTGTGCTGTAGAAGCTTAGGTTGTGTTTTCTGTGAGAAGGGATGCTGGGATGCTTTCTGTTCCTGTGCCCAAAGCTGCTGGCTGTTTGAAAGCATAATGCTGCTGTACCTCCATCTTCTGACAGTGGTAAGAAGTGGGATTTTTAAAAAGAAAGTCATGTTAGCCCTATGTATTTCATGAAATACTGTAAAATCAGGCGTGTTCTTCACTCTCATGCATTGGCTGGCCAAAGTTAGCTCTGAGGCCTCCATTTCCTTGAAATCCAATCTGTAAATATAAAGCATATGAAGCCAGGTTTGAGGTCAGAAATGGGGCATTAAAAGGAGCCTAGGGAAAGGAGGCATTAAATCCCATTAACACTGAGTGGGATGGAATTCTCCCCTGCACATCTGAGAGTCCCAGGCTCGTGTCCTGCAGGCATTTTGCTGCGCTCCTCTCACACACGAGGCTCTTGTGAAGAAGGGGGCAAGGCACATGCATGAGATTTGAGGGATTAGCAGCAAACTTCAGGCTTCCACTTTGAACTTCCCGGTGGTTTTCTTAACCTTCTAGCTATATTTGATCATACTCATCTTACTTATCTGTTCCTGGTGCAAAAAAGCACTCAGCCCATCCCTGTCTCTCTTTCAGTTCTGCCTTGAAAGTTAATTGTTACAGGCAAATAGGGTCCTGACCCGGCAAATATGCACATCCTTTGCTGTATTTGCATGATTAACTCTTTTGAAGTTAAGTAGATCGAGCCTTTGATATTGTGACTTGAGAGAACCCCCTTGAAGTCAGTGCACTCGGGCTGACTTCAGCAGGTGGGGCTTTGGCTCAGCCGCATCCGTGAGTTCAGAGAGGGGCTTGGAGGGGAGAAGATGATTGCAGGATCAAGACCTAGAGGAATTACAGGTAACATAAGACAAATATTTTAGTATTAATCAAATGGGATTTGGTTACCTGATGAGGATTGATGACATAGGCTTTAGACCAACATTTTGGTTTTTAACCTGATGTTTTGGACCATAGAAACCATTGCCTCTTTTCAAAGGGTTGTGAATGGTAACCAGGAAAAGAAAGATTTAATTTTGCCATGTGCTGATGTGCCTTTCTTTTAAAAGATTGTCAGAGGACATCAAAGTGTAGGGGTCCAAAATGGCCATGGTAGGGCCACCTTCTTGACTGGAAAGTTGTGCGAATGCTGTGGGTTCTCAACTTAAGAACCCGGTGAGACCTCGCTGGTGCTGTGCAAGGCCCTTGCTGTGCTGCTGCTTTGGGACAGGGAGAGCCACATGGACCAGGACTGAGGTTGGTACCATCTGCCAGTCTTACTACCTTGGTTTTGGTGCTGGAAATGCAGCAGAGATGGCAACAGAATTGAAGGAAGATGAAGAGCCAGCAGCAGACAGGGTTTGAGGCACAGGAGGCAGAGAGCTGGTGGGGGCTGGAGGTTTCACAGCCTGTGTGGATGGTAGGTTATCCCAGCAGAGGGCATCCCCACACTGTTGGATGTTGGTTTGCAGGGTGTGTTGCAGGCTTTTGGGCACTATGTCAGAATGCTTTGCATGTAGTGTTATTACACTGCACGCTGTGTCTCATGCTATGGTTGGTGGTGGGCTTCGGAGCCCACGCAGATTCACAGCAGCTTGGTTAGCAATGGGATGTGAGGGAGGGCGTGCGTTTACCTTAGGTTCAGTGGTGTAAGTAGACATAAATTGAGATTTATGAATAACTTATGGATTTTGATAGAGGAGGAACGAAAATTGAGAGGGGAGAGAAACAAGTTGTTATGTCTCAGTTCACTCTTCCTTTTGGAGTATTTTATAGCTGTTTTGGCGTGGTCTTGGTGATTGTCTCCTGTCTTCTCATGCTTTCAGGCATTAATGTGTTATTTATTATTGCAATTAATTAGATGATAAACATTTTTCACAAATCAGGCTTGATTTTTTTTTCTGGGCAAAGCATAATATTTATTTTTCAGAAGTACTGGTGATTTCCTCACTGCCCTTACACTCATGGTTACACAGTGTGTTCGGAAGGCACGCTGGTATCATACCCTGTTCTGAGTGCTACTGGGAACCAGCAGACTGAAAATGTACAGCCATTCACAAATTCCAGATTTGCTTTCCCCTCTGTTTTTGGGGTATCTTTCAAAGGGAGGATCGTGTTATCCTGGGAACACCTCTTTATTGCCTTCACTTTAGTTCTTGGCTGCTGAATTGCATGGCAGATCTGCTTGGAGAGGACAATGCTGTTTGCATTTGCCTGTGCTGAATACAGGAGGCAAGTCTAAAATCTTTGTTTCTTATTCCCCTGTCAACTCCGGTTTGTTTTCATGTTTCAGATCTTTGTGATAGGGCTGCTTGCCTTTTATTAGTGGACACTGAACCTGGAGTGATCATTGTACAACCAAAATGCAAACATTTTTCAAATCACCTAGCGTGGTTGATAATTACTCCGAAAGGCAGGGAAGCATGAAAGCTAGGCTGGTTACTATTCTTTGTGGCAATGTCTAGTTAAGTGAGGTAGTCTAGGTGTGTCTGCTAATGTCAGGGCCTGCTCTCTGGCCTGGAGGGCAGCACAGTCTGCCTGCATCCACGGTATTGGACTTTCTTACCAACCCTTACCAACCACAAAGCCTAGCAGTGCCCAAACTGGCTACTGAGTGCTCTGTGCACCAGGCTAAGCCTTGGATGGAAAAAATTATCTGAGGGCGTGCTGCCTGCCCAGAGTCAAAGCTGAGCCAGGCGCTATCAGGTTCCAGTAGACAAGTTCCACTATCAAGTTCCACTTACTGGGAATATGCCCCGATACTGTTTAGTTTGCTGGTAGAGGTGTGGTGGATAGATACTGGGTTAATCTAAACTTGTTTCCCAGTTGCTTCTGTGCTTTTTGTCGGGTTGACTTTCTTTTCTTGGTGGAAGTATTCTGCTTTCTTCCATCCCAAGATGTGGTGCTTGAGTCTCTCCATCTTTTCAAGCACAGTAGTAATTGAGATTCAGTCCACTAGAGTTCACCAGAACAAGTTCCAGGAGGGTAAGTGTTGCACCCTAGCAGAGGATCTGTCCCATACGCTCTCTGCTAGCACTAGTTTTGGAGCTGTTGTTTTGTTTTGTTCTTTAAATAGCTCTGTGTTCATTGAGACACACTAATAGGTTTGGGGGCTGTGGAGCGTCAAGATGAATATATTGGCTGTATAATACCACAGTCACATAGCATGACAGTCACTCTCCATTATGCCTCTAATGTCAGTTAGAGAGTGTTTTGTTTGCGTGATTAGATTGTATTTTTTTTTCACATGTTGTTTTGCAGTCCTGAATTCAAAACCGACTGCGGCATAGAAGCCACCCTATTTCTAACCAGCATTCCCATGGTTATTGCTTTCCTTGTATCATGAGCCTTATTTCTCCTGTCTTTGTAGAAGGAATGACTGCTGTGGGCAATTTCTCTTTGTATAAGAATCTGTAGGCCATGACCAAGTCGTTTTCATTCTCTCATGGATAAACTAAGGAGTCAGGGGTCAGCTGAGGTCTGTGCCCTTGGGTTTCTGTATTAGGTGCTGTGCAGGGCAGCAAATGTGCCAGCTGCTTAGGCCTCAACAGCCAGAAGCACACCAAAACCCACCAGGGCTGAGAAATCTGCCTTCTGGCATAGTGGGGAAAAGATTCACTCTGCTTTCTCCATCAGGCATGCACCTGGCTTTGCCTCCTGACTTTTGGAGCTGGTCACCAAATAGCTCATTTTTAGTGGACAAGAATTTTTGCTGTCAGAGAAAAGTATCTGGAGCAGTGATCTTCCCGGTATTTAATTAACTGATGAGTCAGGCAAATGGATGCTGGGTACCTGGCAATGAGCTTCTATTTCATTAGGGAGCAGATTTTAATAACAGAATTAGAAGACCAGCAACAGTGTTTGGGGATTCACTGTGGAGATAACAGGCTCTTACCAGGCTTTATGTAAATCTCCTCGGTAATACATGTTTTCTACTTCAGTTTCCAGGTTTAATGTTTCACAGTGCTTAACCTGTTGCTTGCTGCTCATGTCTCCCTCTTGCCTGTAAAGAAACTTACCCAGACAACATGTTTTGTTGCAGGTCTCCAAGAAGTACAGCGAGATAGAAGAGCTCTACCACAGACTGGCAGCCCGGTATCCACAGGTTTCTCTTCCACCCTTGCCTAGAAAAGTTCTCTTCGTGGGGGAATCCGACATTTGGGAACGAAGAGCGATGTTCAATGACATCATGAAATTCATCTCAAAAGACGAGGATCTAGCAATATGTCCTGAGTTACTGGAATTTTTAGGTAACTAAAAGATGTGAGTGTCCCTTTTCCCATGAATGTGATTAATAGAAGCTGCGTTAAGTACTTGACTGAGGTAGTCCAAGAACTAGAGAATGCCAGAGTAAAGGCTGTGACTGAAAATATTCTCTTGTGCATCTATAGTGCTGCATAGTCATGTTTGCTGTTATTTTCCCTTCTTTCCAGTGGACACACACCTTACTCAGAAGCACTGATGCCACAATACTTGCTTTGAAGATATCCATTGCACCCTCTCTCATTTCCCTTAGGCATATACCAAAGCTGTACTACAGAACGTGTGAGTTTAGAAGGCTAAATAATCATTTACTGCCAGTGTAGGAATAGACCTTGAAAAGACAGTGCAGGGCTCCTTTAGAGAACAACTGCTCCATGTTTTGCCTGTTTTTCATTCCTAGTAAAACTACTGGGAATTGCTGAAGTGTATACTATTGACCCTCGAAAATATTTGAGTAAAAGTGTGATGCTTTTTTAGTTAAACCTGTTCTCTGCCTTTTTTTTTATATATAATTTTCCTTAGCCTCGTGTCCAGTTCTTGTTGCCCATTCCAATAATCCATACAAGTCCTTTCTTATGTTCCTTGGGCAGAGAAGGGAGTCAGTGAATAAATGGAACAGATGGGCTCTCTGCTCTTAATTCAGCTGAGAGTTGCTGAGCAGGGAATACTCCTGGTGCTGTGCAGGATTCTCAGTGTAGTGTTAGTTTTAAGGAGATGAAGTTGCAAGGTGCTAACAAGTCATCATGTGTGAACTGCCACTTTTGCAAAGGTGTGAAGCATGGCCAGGTTAGAAGTTCTGTGACACTGACAAGAGCACATCCCTGTAACTAAATCTCTATCAAGCATGAAGTGCACAATTGAAATCAGCTTCCTAAAGTAAAGGGGGACAAAATTACATCATTTTAGGAAAAGGATTGTGACAAATAAGGTTTGAGAGTTCTCCCCCATCCTTATCAGTGCTCTCTTGAAAGCAGACCCCTTGCACAGAGAATTTAGAATTCATGTTGCATGAGTCTTCGCTGTATATGGTACAGATGTCTACATCTGAACTGTCTTTATATTCTGTGGACAGATTGTGTGTAAGTAATATGACCTGCTCATCAAAGACTGCCTTAGAATAATATGTCTCACCCTACCAACCCAGGTGGAATTCAGTATATACACTGCAGATCCTCAAGCTAGTGTACCTTCCTGACAGACATTGGAGATACAGTCAATATATTCTGAGGTATTTAGGTAGAACTAACATGGTAAAACATAGATGTCTACATGCAGCATCCTAGCCTCCACTGCCTACCCTGACCAGCACTCCCTTGCCTATAAAGGGAGGAAAAGACCAATTGTTCAGTGTAGGCACACACATTTGGTTTTGATTTCTACCCTAGGTGATTAGGTACATGCAAGCATGAAAAGCTGGATGAGATGTGTCTCACTTGCCATGTCAGTTTAATAGTCAAAACGATGAAGCCATGAATTTTATTTATCAATAGTGTTTTTGTTTTGTTTTGTTTTTATGCTAGCCTATTTTTAGCTAGTCTCATTACTTTAGAATAGTTTCCCGAACATCCAGAGATTCCACAGCACGGAACAGTTATGTTCTCCTCATTCTTCTGGGCTTTGCATATATCAAGTATGGTGAGAAGACTTGGTCAAAGTGTGTATTTCAGTTTCCATCTTGCATACTGAAGGAAGTTAGAACTTCAGGCTTCTTTTTTGCGTGTAAATCAAAGAGCTACCTTGGAAACTATTTCTCATGCTATCTAGTGCTGTACTTTTAGCCCAGATGAATTAAATTAGTAACAAAAAGTGTTCTTTAGCTATCTACATCTGAGCAGAGTATTTAAGCCCCTCTGTAGCCAACGGAGAGAAACAGGCACTTCAGAGGGATACTTGTTCTCAGACAACTGTCTTTGGATGCAATGAGTCACCAGCTGAAAATTCTATTGTTTTCATTGACTATAGAAGGAACATAAATAAGCATGTGTTTTAGATAAAGTTCATTTCCTTTGTCTTTCTCTACTTGACTTCTTTAAATCAGTAAACAGACCAGAAATATGACAATACATCAGTGGATAGAAGGGAGAATTGGGAATACTGGAAGAGTTTCACAAAAGCTGATCATATACACCATTTCTCAAACAAAATCATGAGAAACAGGTGCAAGGCATGAAATAAAACATGACTGTTGTCCCGTGTATTCAGTTTTGCATCCTTAATTGTATTTTGCAGGGACAAAATCTACCAGTGTCATTGACTTCAAGGGTAAAAACATCCCTGATGACAAAGAGAAAGAAGATGAAGAAAATGAGGCATTGGATTTTTTCAAAGAGGAAAAGACACCTGACTTAATTTCAGAGCTTGTATCAGTGAAGGGTGCCAAAAAATGTGAGAAGAAAGAAGAGGAAGAGGAGGAAGAAGAGGAAGAAGATTTAGACCCTCTTGGTATAATCAGGTATGGACTCAATACCTTTGTTATTTAATTTTTAGCTCAATTTTCTAGGCAAATGAGGCTGTTCCATGTCACTGTCCTCTCATCCCAACCTTTCTGTAAAATATTTCACCGAGGAGAAGAGGCCTCTCATATTATGTTTCTATCCAGTTCATGACAAAGTGCCTCTGTAGAGGGAAGAGACTTTGTAGTGCCTCTTTAGTGCATGCCTGAGGGAATCCAGGTGAGAGAGAGACATTGAGAATGCCTTGATTACAGTCTCAGCTGCAGTAGGCACTTTAGTGGACACTGCAGGGTGCCACCACAAAACATAAAGCCCCTGGGCTGCATTGGATGTGCCTCTCTGGAGTGCACTGGTGTTAACAGTGTCTGGAACTGCTTCTGAGCTGGCTGGTATCCAGAACGATGTGAAGTTACAGCAGTGTGAAGACCAAAAGAGCCAATGCATCAATCAGGATGTTCACATATAGGCTTTCTTTCCTCCTGCCCTTTTCTGAAGATGTCATGTGCTAAATGCCTCTAAGGTGTAAGCAATAACAGCCTGAGAAACAGAATAATTGAATCAAAGCTTGCTGAAGTTCGTATCTGGGTTTGCTTACCTGCCCAATAATTTTCAGAAGGCTATCACCACTTCAAGATGGAATTTCTCACTTAATTCCCAAAATCATGAGAAGCAAATTTACTACTAAAGCCTGAAAGCAAATTTAGTTTCCTAGTGGCTGGGATCATGAGTATTGACTACTTTTTTTAGTGCTTCTCAGGCTTTAGATGCCCAAGTAGAGGGGCCCCAAAAGCACTGATAGTAACAAGCCAGAACTCTCTGTTGGTGTTTCCCAGTTACCTTGAATTATTTGTGGAGTGGCCATTCAGTCCAGGTTCTAAACCTGGGTCTCTCACACTGAAGTCAGGTCAACCACAAATGATTAATTCTGGGAGCACCATTTGGACTTTGCTTCTGGTAATAAAACCACGTTTAATTGCTGGCATCCAGACAGAGTCCTTTTTACTTAAGATATTTCATCCTTTAAATATCACCAGGAAACTTTAAATATTATCCTTTTGACGAAGCATGTGCTTAATTACTCAGCATCAAAATCATTCCTTTGTTGAAGAGGAGTTTTAAAAAGTTAAGCAGCTATTTACAATGAAAAGCTTGATAAAGCAGTACTTCCCGCAAAATGGTCCTTAGTTGGTAGAGTTTATAAAAGAAGCTGTCCTTTTTTGGATAGGAAAATGATCTATTGGGTTAGCAAATGCAATGTTGTATTTTCAGACTTACAACAAGTATAAGCTGTAAAGAATGTGCTGTGCCAAAACAAGCAAGAGATTTTTTTTCCTGCCTCTCACAGTTTGACATAGCATTTGAAAGTCTGATTATTTTGTTCTTTTAATGCATTGGAGGATGAAAAGATCTGGTATTTAATAGTCATTTAGTTTATTGCTTCCATTCCTTTTGAGAACAGAATTATTAGTGAATCAGAATAATTTTGTTTATAGAAGAAGAAATATGGTATTAAGTGGTACAGTGCTGCAGCATGACATGTCATGCAGTCAGATGTTTTTCACTCTAAGTCAGTGGTTAGCTATCTATAAAAAGCCTCTCGGAATGTATTTATTATTATGCTTTTAAATCTCACATGTACAGTGTCACAGCAGAAATATAAACATGGAAATAAGAATCCTGAATCTGATTTAATATTGTTTCTATTCTCCTCTAACTCACCCAGCTTCCACAGAAGATATTTTTCATTCAGATCAGTGGTAGCAGATTGAATGTAAGCATTGTATCCCAGCTTTATGCCATCTAGTAATAGCAGGTGTCAAGATAAGACAAGGACAGGAGCTTAATTGGCAGTGAATGGCCACTTCTGGAATGACCAATGTAGTGTATCTTCCATGCCCGCAAAATCATAGGTGATTACGTGCTTTAAAGAGGGAACTTGAGGACTCACAGCTTCAGGCATGCTTGAAGTTAGGTTGGGATGGGGATGAGTAAAAAATTAGGTGATACAGACTGGATAAATGTGTTTAGTACTACACAGTTCCTTAACACATGCATAATTCAGGTTAAAAAAAAATCCACAATCCTTACCCCTGTTTAAAAAGAAAATAAAAAATGAAAAAATGTAAAGTCAGCACTGAGACAATGGACTGGCGTCCATTGCAAGCAGTAGCGGTAGCCAAGGTTCTTTTGAGTAGCAGAGCTCTGACCTAAACTAAATCGTGTGTTTGGCATAATCTTACCATTTTTTTCTTTCTTTCTGGATGAGGATGAAACTGCTCCAGTAGCAGAGGCCTCCATATGTTGTCAGCATGCTTCATTTGGTAACAACTTCTCCTCCTGGGCCAGAAGGCTGCGACTTGGATTGGGCCCAGCACTGCTGCTGTGCTGCTCAGCCACCAGATATCCAGCTAAATGTACTGGCCTTAGGAGTAATATGCTAAACTAGGGCCTTTTTTTCTGTTTTTATATTGCTGATGATCATCCAGGTGTAAGCTGGTAATGGCAGGCTCCTTTTCCCTAAAGGAGATGTCCCAGTTGTGCCGGTCTCTTCCTTGTATTCAGGGCTGGGGCCAAGCTGCTCTTTCATGTCTGGTGGGCGACTCACGTGCCAATTCCATGTTCTTCAGCTTCTGTGGGTGTAAAGTGTGGCCTGCAAACCTACCTGGTGCTTCTTTGCCATACGGTTCTCATGCTCAAAAGCTTACTTTCCGTGTTTGCAGAGTGTTCTTGCACCATGTCTGGGATCCCTAACAACAGAAAGCATTGCTTTCTTGTCCAAATCAGGAACATTTCAAAAACCATAATGCTTCTGATAAGGTTTGCAGCTTTTAACTCTCCCTGTTCCCCCTTATTTTTTCCAGGAATTTTTCTTCCTAGAATGAGAGGTACTCAAAATGAGGTTACATTTCTGGGGTGTAGTGCTGAAATTCAGCTGAAACGTGCTTTCAGAAGGTCTGCTTTTTCCTTTTCTCCCTTTCTTGAGAGTTTGGAGTATTTTTATTCCAGTGTGTTGTCACCAGTTACTCTGCAAGTTCTTGTGGACGTTTGTAGAGACCTTCTCAGCTTTGGGCAGAATATACAGGTCCTGTAAGAACAAGCACTCCTCATACTGAGTAAGATAGTCCTTTAACATGAGCTGTGCAGAGGGGAATGAATGTATTGTACCCACGTTGGTAGCAGCAGAACATTTCTAGCTGTTTCCTTTTATTTTGCGGTCTAAGTGTGCGGTTACTTGTTATAGGGCTTTCTTGGCCAAAGTGTCTCTTTTAAAACTAGCATATATTATTTTTTTCTGGAAAGCCATAATCCTTTATTAAAATGTTTTAATTCCTTTAGAGTGGGAAATCAGATAGGTATTTTACTCTACATCATAGGGAAAATATTAGGTTAATCACTTATCTTTTTTTCTCTGTTGTTGTCCTTAAAATGAAAGCAATAATACTGTTTATTACTCTTTTCTAAATCCACCTGTCTTAATATTTGCAGATATCTATTTTTAAGTACTCAATAGACTACAATAGCATTTTCAACGATATGTGTTGGTTTTTAGAGGTGCAGTATCTTTCAGCAGTGCTGAATCTTAAAGAGTTTTCTGGTAAATTACAAAATGTTACTGTGTGGCTAGTCACAATTGCAGGGGTTTCTACATCTGGAATGCCTTCAAGAATGAAAAAAGCAAGGGCACTGGATCCAAAAGAGGCTAATCCTCTAAAGGAGAAGGTGTGGAAGATAGCCACGAGAATAGCAGGAGCTATTCATCCACAGGCAGGATGTTTTTGATGATACTGCTGAAAATTCTGCAGTGGAAAAAGGTGTAATGTGCAATGGTATAAGAAAAGATTTGCATGGAGCAAAGAGAAGTGTGAAGCGATGTTCTTGGATGGTATCAATGCTAGTAAACTCAGCAGTGCCAGGCCCTGCTGGCTGAGGCTGTCTGGGCATTATCTGGCTGCGTCTGTGCTATTAGGTTCCCCTGCCCTCCATATGGGGTGTGCTGTGCTCAGAACGCCCCTGGAAATAGCTACTGGCCTGTGCTGTCTCCTGGGCTGTGGGTAGGATGGGTTACAAGACAGGTTGTCCCATGACAGGGGAGCACCAGGGACCTGTGCTCGGGCCCAGGGTGTGAAGAAATTACAAAATAAATAAATAAATAAATAAATGAAATAAATAGCCCTGAGCAGCTCTGTCCACAAGGGTTAGCTTTCTGCCTGCTGCCCTGTTTGCTCTCCATTTCCCCATTTGCCCCGAGGGTTTCCTAGGGTTTTGCTTTCTGTAGGGAATCCAGGCAACCAGTTGAGGATTCTTCTTCTACTGGGTCCAAGAAGGACCATGTTAGGTATTTCTAACTCTGTATCTCAAAACAACTTTAAAATCACATCACAGTAAGCGAGCTATTTTTTTGTCTTCTCCTTCTGTGGATGAACTGTACGGTTTTATTGCGTGTAGGTTGAAGTCAAGGGCTTTAACATCTCTCCCCTCACTTTAAAACTGACTTACTTGTATTCAATTTATCCCGATAAACTTGATACAGCAGCTGATTAAAATGACTCAGAACCAGCTTTTCTGAACACAGCAGCAATGATTTTGCAAAAAGAACAGGAGGACTTCATGGGTTAAAGCATGCAGCAGCCCTGTGCATGCATTTCTTTGGCTACAATTAAATTGTGAAGTAATATTTGTTCCCTAGCTCAGAGAACCCACCTTTTCCTGTGCTTCCCTGCCTCCATCAGCTCTTAGCACCCCTCACCAGAGCCTCTTTTCCATGTTCCCTCCCTTCCGTCCTTTTTCCTTTGCCTCCCTAAACCTTGCAGTGACAGCACATCCTCCAGCCCACAATTTTTCCTGGCAGACTGCACAGGGCCATGAGGTGGGTATTCCCCAGGCAAGGGCTCTTCTGTCTCCTCGTGGGTCCGTGAGAGCTTCTGTCTCCACTCTCTCCCTTTCCTATTGTTTCAGCGGATTTCCCCTTGTGGCTTCTCCTCATCTCATTTCGTCCCTT